GCGAAAGCCACAAAATCTCAAGGCCGAAATCATCAACTTGGCATATTTATAACGTAAAATTTTAAATTTCACATAAACACTTATACACGCATACAAAAAATAAAAATACGTTTTTACGATTTCATATAAAATTCCGAGTGCTTCTGATAATATTTATAACCTTTAAAATGAAATAAACCGAGCGTTGTTTATGCGTATGTACGTATGTATGTACGTGTGTATATATGTATGTATGTATGTATGTATGGATGCATGCGCGCGTGCGTGTGTGTGTGTGTGTGTGTGTGTGTGTGTGTGTGTGTGTGTGTGTATGTGTTTGTGTTTGTGTATTTGTGCAATACTAGCCGTATTTTAAATTCTTTTTACAATTCCGAAGTGCACCGCAGAAGGGCATTAGCGCTAAGTAAATATATATTTTTGCGGTGACGCTTTTATGCACCGGTACTTATCTACACAGCATATGCATTACATATGTACTACATATATATTTCTACTTAAATTTTTGAAAAGTGGTGGAAAATTGCATATTTAAAACTCGTTAAATGTACACAAAAGGACATAAATCCCGTTATTCAGTTTAAAGCTTAAAGGGTAAAATCTAGTATTAGGTAATCGTTGTTTTATCCATCACACGCACACATGTACGTATGTTCGAAGAGTACGTGTGAATGAGAACAAAAGAATGTAAATTGTTTTTTTATTTATTTTTTTTAATATCTATTGACTGATAAAAGGTAGCGGACCAATAGCATGTACGCTAGTTCAACTATTCATCAAAAATACGTTCTCTTGGGTAAACTAACTTAATTTAACCAAATTTGAAATAAAAACTAAAACAATCGTACAATCATACAATCTCTACGTATATGTACGTAGATACACATATGAGATAGTGTTAGCATTTATTCATCGTCTTAAACCTTACTAACACTATAATAGAAATACAGAACAAGAGCTTAACCCTTTAAGAAATTTTGCAATTTGTCAACGTCACAAATATGAATTAATCCTCCATAGAAAATATTAAAATGACATTACCGTTACCGCTATATAGCTTCAATTTAATAAATTTTGAGATTGCAGCACTTCGATATTTTTTTAGGCTAACTTATATACCTTATATAAAATGCGAAGCTATAGATTTACATTCATGAACAATGCATCCGCGATGAAATGTCAAAGCTTCTTAAAATTTATTCATTGGAATTATTGCCGTTCATCAGTTTGTTAGTGCATTGCCTTTAGCAAGAACTAAAACATTGACCGGAAAACCCTAGCAGAGTTTCTCCTCCCGCTTCGCTATACGCTTAATAATATGTCTCCTCTAATAACAGCGTTTGCGACTATTAATCCCTTTAGGGCAACTCTTTGATGTTTTTATACTCATCACTCAAGGATGAGGCGTACATTCATTTTGTCAAAGCGTGTGCAACGTTCCAGAAGGAAGCTTCAAAGACTCGTCAAAATATATATATTCGTCATAAGCATCAAAATCTGAATCGATTTAAGACAGACATTGTCTGTCCATCTGTCCGTCTGTCCAACAGTTTAATATCTGTGAAACACGTTCTCCCTTTCGTAAAATGGAATAATTATATAAATTTTGTAAAAGAGTTTGAAATTGACGTAAGCAGGTTAAAGGACATGCCTATAGCGCCCACACGTCTATACAATCAAAACTGAGAACACCTTTTTGTTTCTTGGGTTTCGTTCTTGGATCGTCTTGGATAATACCATATATTTGTTTTGCAAACGATATGCCAAATAAACATACTCTCAGAGCTCCACAGGAAGCGAAATGAGTATCTGCATGGGTCAAAATTACTGCAACAAAATGTCCTACTAAAGGAATATAGCATGCCCGGCTTTTGAAAGGTAATCTCAGACACTTAACACATATTCGTATATTTCGTATTAAAAAAAATTAAAAGAGAGAACAAGTAAAAACATTATTTGGCGAAGCCAACTATTAATTAGGTTGCGCTACCTTGCATAATAAAGTTTTTCATTTATTCTCGTTGTCAAGTTAACGCATGATTTTCATAATACCGCTTTACAAATTATACCTTGTACCGATGTAAAAGCTTATTGCGCAGAATAACTTTTACATCAGAAGGGGGTTATAAATTGGCTTTCATGATCTAAATGTTGTAAAGTTAATTTTTATGTGGACCAATTGTCATCAGAAAATATTAAAAACTAGATCCTTTTGCCAAGTAAGGGCTTTACACATGATACTTAATACTAAAAGGTTGTTTTATAGAGAAAGTTGTTTGTCGGAACAAATTTTAGTGAAATGTTTGGGAACCTTGCGAGCTACACTTTGAATACGCAAATATTGACGGACAGAGACAACCGTAAAATAATTCCAAGTGAATTGGTGCTGCAAAGAGCGGATGTTTCTTAGGTGCAGTAAGCATTTGATTCGATGTAGGTGAAAAAAATTATCACAAGCCGCAACCGCCACCTGACTGAGCTTTGTTATAAAGAGGTAGAAACAAAAACTTTGATAACTACATATGGAAATGCATCAGCGATGGAATACCAACTATAAAGAAAAATAACAAACATTTGCATCTACGCAAAACTCTTCTACGGTATAAAAATTTTCGATAATATTTTAATTGTAGAAATATAGAATATAACGTATTTGGTATACTGTATGTAAAATACGTATCGATTGCCCTCTAATTCATTGTAAGAGCCATCACATGCATATGTCATGCATTCAATTTTATTACTAGTACTAGTGATAATAAGCGTAAAGTTGTATAAATGAGTATGCGTATTATGGTAACAAATTTTCTTAGATTGCTCAGATAAGGCCAACTTAACTATGATCATAAGCGTTATAACGGACTTTATCTTAGAAAAGTGAATTTCATAACAATATTTTCGAATGTTAGTTACTTTCAGTTAAGAGATTTCAAAGAGAGAAAAAATCTAAATTTTATCGCAGGTTGCAGCAGCAGTTTTTGTAAACATAATTGGCTTGTGTGACATTCTACGACATTCATACAATTATAACGAGATACGTGTGTATGTGAGCGAACTTTCCAAACTAAATATCACATCTACTTACATCACCTTATTTACTTACACTTGAATTTTGATTAATTGTGAGTCGTCCGTATGGTTGCGATATCGACAAACGGAAAAAACGACAGATGGATATATCTAAATGTATTTCGCTATTCACATTAATACACTTTACGGATTGTATGACGCATATATTTTTTGTTTCCATGCGGTTTGACAAACTAACATGCCTGTTTTATGTGTAGAAATAAAAAGGAAACCTTAAGATCAGTTTCAAAAGAATGAGTTGATTTTCTGTAGCGAGTAAAAGGATTATATGAGAGAAGAAATTATGAATAGTTTTTGCTTCCCTCGCTTGCTCTCTCTTTCTCTTTCACTCTTTTACTACTGATAAAAAAAGTAATTCGCATTATACGCAAAATTGCATAAATTAAACTGTTATTAAGCTTTAATGCTGAACGCATTCTCTCAGAGATTTTGAAATGATCGACATGTTTTTATCCTAAGCATAAATGTACACGTATGTATAAATGTGCTATAGTGTAACTTTTCAAGTAAAGAAATTGATAATGATAAACGTAAGAGAAAACCCGAATTCAGCAGTTTGGAATGATGGGCACATGTACATTTCAAAATTGACTTAAAGTGTAACACTAATGAAGGATATGAGTGTGTATCATAATTGAATTTTCGACGGATATTTCGGTGCGTCATAAGGGCAGGGGCAACAGTTAAACAAGCCTGTTATACATTCATTTCGTCGGTAGTTGATGGTGATGGTGATGGTGATGGTGATATTCCCGGCGAATACATATTGAGAAGGAAAATTATATTGAAAAGTATAAGAAACCTTTAAATAAAGAAAGGCAAAATGAAATAAAGCTGAAAGTGGTAGGAGCTAAAGTTCATTTCTTCATTTACATCAATTTTTAAAAGCCTGTATTACAACAGATGAATTTTGTATTAAAATCAATATTTGCTTCCGATAGTAATTCGCTTGTGCTGATGAAAAACAAAAACCTGCAGAAATTTGAATTAAATTTAAAATGTATTGGTTTTCTATTTGTTTTTTTGTTTTCAAGTTTTTATTTGATATACGATCTGATTTGACGTCTGTTCATTTACTCTAATATTACAATATATTCACACAATAGTAGTAAATATATAAAGTTGTGTTGTGCTTTTAGTGGTTTCTTTGTTTCGTTTTTCTTTTTTTCTTCATTTTTTTTTTTTTTCCTTTACTTGGTATCGTTGCCAATTGTATTTTACGTGAAACTTGTAATACTAAAAAAATTATTTTTATTTATTTATTTTTTGCTTATAAAGTTCACAAACTTTGTTTTTTAATACCGTTTTTCATATTTTCGGATTTTATTTTGATGATTTATTTTTCTTTTTTGTATATATTTTTCTGGTGTTTGTTGGTCACTCATGTCAAAATTACTTTTAGGATGGTATTGATGTCAGTTTTTCTTTGTGAGAACGAATACGAGGGATAAGGAGCGAGTAAGACATTACGTTTTATATTTGCGAATGCGTGTGTGTGTGTGTGTGTGTGTGTGTGTGTGTGTGTGTGTATTAAGCAAGAGTGAATGGCTTTAGTTTTATTTGCTTAATGGCTTAATTCAAGGATGTATCATTAGAATTTTGTGAATATGTTAAGAGCTTGATTTTTGCTGTATTTCTCTTCTTCTTCTTCGCCGTTTTGTTTTTCTTTGAAAGAATCTTAGAATAAAACTTATAAAGAGGTTTTTTCATTACAATTTACATACAATTTTATATTCATTTTATTTACTTACTTTATTTTTAAAATTTATTTACTTATTTTGAACGATTCCTTATACTATTGCATTATATTATATTATATTAAAACTATTTATTATTATTTTCTTCTTGGTTTAAAAGTGTTGCTTATTAATTTATTTAAGATTGATATTTAATGATCATTAATTTTTGTTGTGTTTGTTTTTTTTTTTTTTTCTTACTCATTATTAATTATATTTATTACAATTAATGATGTGCTGATTATCAAACACATACGGATAGTGGAGTTTTTACAAATTCGTCAAAATTCCGAATTGAATAAATTAATTGGCCTCATGAGATCTTGGAAATCTTAACTGGATTCTACGCAAAGAAGGAGCAATATAAAAACCGTAGGGAGTTAACAGAAAAGTTAACTGAAATAACACAAGGCGGACAGTGTGAACTGTGACAGTCCAAAACGATACCTCCATCCATTTACACGCCTGTACGTATAAACAAAAACTTTCTCGTTAATCATACAGTTTAACTTTCAAAGCTTTCTCTTTAGTTATTTCATTATATTCAAAAGAAAGACAAAAAACAAAAAAGTTTTGCAATTTTATTTTTATTTTATTAATTCATGTCATATTATTAAACGAATAAGAAGTGGAGAGACGCACACCCTCGAACGCCCATATGTACAGCGTGCTTACATGCACACATAACCGAATATGGAATATTGCGGTGCTACTTTTAACCACTCGCTCTATAAATTACACGGACTAAATAGAGTCAAACAAATAACACAAAGAACGAAACAGAACAACAGCAATAATGGCAAGACGAGAAAAGGGAGAAATAACAGAAACCGTTGTTACGTGTCGCCTCATACATTTTTATTATTTTTGCTTCTTTTTTTTTTTTTTTTGTTTTTTCTCACAACCGCAAAACTGGAGCACTTTAAACCACGCGATATATATATACATACATATGGCTCTGCACCACTGAGTTATAAGCAGTGTTTTGTGTACAGTGGCAGTAATAGTGGTTTCGTTTTTCACTTCTTCAAGCACTCATTCACACACACTACGTATATATATAAAAAAAATAAATAAAAATAGGAAGCACATATATACACACATGTGCATACACATTCAAAGTAACATAGAAAGCAAGTCATTTATTCATGTGAAAAATGTATAGTTTTCGAAAGGGCTGTTTTTCTTCACTTTTTTACACTATTTGGCACAGCAAACTCTCTCTCTCTCCATTCTTACACAGAAACCAAAGAATGAAAATATGAAAAAAGCCACGGATATGCATAAATATATTGTTAAACTGTCATACATATTGTTTTTCATGTACAATTAGCTAAATGTTCGTCACCACATATACGCTTGGAAGCAGCTACGGTTTTCATTCTATGAGATAAAGAAAAACTAACTAAACAGAACAACTAAGAAATCGATACTTGCTTCAAGAAGAAACACTTATCCCGCTTAAAATCAATTTAAAATAAAATCGCTTAAACTATGACCAGTCAGTGGTAAGCGAGTCAAATCGATGCGGACCGTATTCGTGTTCCCGCTCTGTCTGCAAATTGAAAATGATTTGTCACGGAAAGAGCGGATATTTATTGTGAGCAACTCATTAATCATTGCAATGGGAAATTTTCTAGCATTCATTACATTCTCCAGACCACCTGTCTTCTGACTATCGAACACCATCTCGCTGACTTTTCTCAAGAAAAACGCAACTCTTTGTTGAAAGATAGCATCAATAAGCTTGTGGTTCTTTGGAAGATAATTGTAGAAGAACAACCACACTTTTTCAACTTGCACCCAGTGATGAACCTGTACAATCAATCACCTGATACTAAAAAAATGCAAAACAACTTGAAAGAAGATTTTTTTTCCTTTCTTCTTTGATTTTTATTTTAGGTTTGTTTCAGTCGTTCAGTTCCTATTGCTGAATTCGACGGACTACAACAATACCCTATAATAATTGAATAAACCGAAATGAAGGCATTGACCATTTTGGCGAAATCGATTTTTACGAACCGATTTATATCGATTTATATCTTTTGATTTAATGACGGACAGCGTAACAAAAATTTAAATAAACAATAAAAACTATAAGCGTAGCTTTTCGAAATTAATTCGTTTTCTTTGGATTACAAATGAAAATTAATCGTTGTATACTCAATATAAACTTTTAAAAAGTATCTTTAAGAATATTTACATCGCTCTCTTAGTAACTTTTTCCTTTGGCTATCATTGGATTCTTTTTTTATATTTTTTATTATCATATTCATCGCGAATATAAACGTTGTAAGATGAGATTAAAAATTTTACAAACATGTTTATACATACATTGTCCTAGAACCTAATATTTAAGATCTTATTTTATAGAAATAATAGGAAAAGGGAAACTAAAGGAAATTTTTATAAATTGTTCAAGTTTTGGAATTTTGATAAAATAGACATTTTTATACACGTATAACATCGCCGGGTGTAGATTTAATCTTTAAATCGCTTAAACTGCCACTCAAGGAGTTAGGTTCGCTGGCCGTGGAGCCTCTTCTGGCCTGCTCGAAGGGCTCTAAATCTCTTAACATGATATCGTTGGACTTGTTTGCTAAGCCAAACATATCCTCACTAGCCTTTTCGTTTAATAAACCGCTAAGTGTCGATCATCTGAGAGATTCCCGTCACATAAATATGTCACCGCCGCCGCTACCTGCACTTACGCCAGTTGACGATTTCCGTGGTGTTGTCGGCACTCCATGTGGACAAGTACCGCTGACGGGCGGCGGTGGAGCTATTCCTTTCGGTTCATCTTCGAAAGTTACCATTTTTTCTCTTGGCTTCATTATAACTTGCATTTGCGGTTGCGCAGTCGACGGTGGTAGTGGCATAGGGGCGCAGAGTAAGGCCTGCGGTGGCCCCAGTTGTAAACCATGAGGTAACCCTAAACCCGAATTTGGTACAGTGGGCGAACATCGTCTGGGTGGAGGTAATGCTAAGTCACCCACACCCGACAAATTAAATTCGCTTACACTCCGTGGTACAAAGTACTCAATATGATGTTCGGGTATACCAGCCGATCTTCGTATGGGAGTGTTGCGTTGAAATGCTGAAGTCATCCCGCGTCTTGGCAACGAATTATATTGGCTGTAGGTATGAGCAGGGCCAAAGAACATGGTCTGATGTTGACCCATTGTATTAGCACCAGCCGCAGCACTGCCAGTCATTAAAAGATCGGCTGTCGGCCTCTGTCAAGAGGATTTCGGCGTCACGGCTACCGATACTAGAGCAACTTCTTCCGCTTGCGGTATAACGTGATCTTGTACGCTAAACTTACGCAACCACATAACAAGTTCAGTTTGTATTAAACTAAAGCACATCGCTACCACCGCCATACCTATCAGTATATAGACCGAAGCTAAGTACAAGCTCAAATTTCCTGTAGGAGCCAATTCACCAAAACCGATTGTACCTAACGATGTGAAACAAAAATATAACGCCTCCAAAACGCTCCAATTTTGCATTTTGTGAAATAAAATTGCTCCTGAGATTATGTAGCTGATCAAGACCATAACGCATATGGAGATTGGAATACTAGGTGAGCCCGCAGAAGATTGATGTTGTTTGCTTAAATTGCCATAAGGATGAGAGCTATGCATTTTACCACCATGATAATGTTTACCGCTATTGGTTGAGTGTTTAGGGCCCTCACTGGTCAATTTTTTACTATTACCTGTTGAAGTGTTTATGCCGGCAGAATTGTTAGCTGAATTCCCTCTGCTGATCGTACTTTTCGAGCGAGCTTTACGGAATAGACAGCGCATGCCCGCGGAAAGACCTTCACCCATAGCCGACAAATATAGTAGCACTATAGGTATACCAAAGAGAGCATAGATAAGGGCAGCTATGCGTCCCCATTGAGTTCGGGGTGAAATTCCACCATACCCTGCAAGAATAGTAAAATTAGTTGAAAAATATACTGTTTATCAAATAGGGATTAATTCAACCATTTACACCATTGATAGGGTGGCGAATACATTTTCGAAATTAAATTTAATGCAAATTCGAGAACTTTTAAGAAACTTGAAACGACACGTTTGAAAGCGTATATATAAGCTTATAACATAGAATATAAGTAAGACGCACAAAAGTGTAAATAGCAAATAGTACGCCAAAGACCTTGTTTGTTTATTAATTTTTTTTTGTTTTTTGTATTTAGTTATCCTTATCCGAAAAATGATATAAAGAAGCTAAAAGAACTGATCTATCTTCCGAAATACTATTTATAATATTTTTATAAATAAAGATTGAAATACCAAACAGAAATCTTCCTTATTTTTGCAAATATTTTTACCTATTATCTCTGTTATCCTTATTAATAGCCAATATTTCATCTCTAACCCCCGCTCTCTCTCTCTCTCCTTCTGCCGCCACCAGTGTGTCCCGTCCCTTTCTTGCCATATTGAAAGAAAAATCCCGAAAGTGATAGTTCTTTACTCTCGGGCTATTTCTCTTTTTGTATCTATCTACCCGCCTACCCGTCAATCTCACTCTCGCTTTCCCTCTCAACAATCAATTCTAGCAATTAAACTGTTACCAGCTACGAACGAGAGAAACAAACATAAACGGCCAGATTTGGATTATCACAAAAATTAATCGCATCAGTTCGCATATTTAGAACGCACTTTCAAACGCCAATTGACAAATCCCAAAAAAAAAAAATAAACATCGGAGTGGTTCTCTCAACTGAATAACTTTATTATCTGCAGCCTAATGTTACATATTGATGTTTACCTTTCTGCGACCTAAATAATGAATCCATTGTGTTATGGAAATCTCATCTGGCGATTTTGAAGCTTTGTAGTAAGATTGCCGTATGTCGTATGTGTGTGTCTGGCTCTCAATAAAAAAAAAAACAAAATATGATGGGAACCGTGACAACAATAAAATATGCAATAAATTAAAAATCAAATGCATACAGATTGATAACAATAAAAGTAAACAACAACAAAAATGGGAAACGAGGACAATGATTTCGAGCCAACAAATAAAATAGAAAGATGTAGTGCCAGTATAAATGTATTCATTTATACCACATTTTTCTTATTCTTTCCAGTCTTCTATGAATGTGTGAATACGTGCGATAGAATAAATGCGCACACAAATCAACACAAATACATCTTGTTCTATATGCCGGCATTTTTTGATATTTTTATTTTACTTCTGGTACATAAAACCACAAAAAGTTATGATAGTTTTCCGGTATTGAGTGCGAGTACGAAGAGAGATCTGGTTACGTCGATCAGGTTGACTGGCTGGCTGACTGACTAGCTGGCTGGTTGGTTGGTCGTTCAGTGTAAACTTTTAATGTGGAAACTTTTTTATAATTGACTTAAAAAAAAAACCGTAAAAATGTTTGTTTGTTCCAAAGAGTAATAAAACTGCTGCCATATATAAAAAGGCAAAAAACATTTGCATGTATGCGTGTGCATTCCGCAAGGTAAACCTTATATATTTAGAGGCATACATATTTATAAAGTTTCGTGAGAATGTGAAAAATATTTACTTTTTTCAAATTAACTGCATAAACCAAGCAAGGTGACGCAATGATCATTAAATATCTTTTGCAGGGCATGTACATATACGTATATGCACACACACACATGCACACACACACACACACACACACACACACACACACACACACACACAC